GCAACATCAAATATTTAAAGTTGATTAAGAAATGTTTGTGCTCGATAAAGTGTTTGAGAATTTTGTCGTTGAAAAAAAAGTTTCTTTAAATTAAGTTCAACACGTGTTAATGTATGTTTAGTAAACAGGGTTTCTAATGCTGTCCATATATATGCATGATAAAGTTCAGTTTTAGATTTTAATGATTCAAACCAAAGATATAAATGTATACAATCAGTTACAAGTGATATTGATGGACGCTTTAAAAATAAAAATAATAAATAGATTAACAAACAAGAAGAAAAATAAATACTTTTTCGGGATTTTTTTGAAGTATTAAATGAACAAGTCGTTCAATAATTGGCGGTGAAGATAAAGCTGGTAAATTTTTATCATCATAATTATCTTGACGAAGTGAACCATGAAAAAATGGATTTGATTGTGAAAAAAATTCATAACATAATGTTCCACTTGCCCAAAGATCAGATTTATTAAAATCAAGATAACTTTTTGGTCCTGGTTGACATGTTAAAATCTAATAAAAACAAAATTTATTTAAAAAAATCATATCAAATCAATTTACTTCAGGTGCCATTAATGCAAGATTTCCACCTTTACAAACTTCATCTGTTTGATACGAAAGTTTTAAATCTGGTGGTTGATATAATGCACAACCGAAATCCGCCAAAACTAATTCACCTGTCGATTGACATATAAGTAAATTATCACTTTTTAAATCTCGATGAACAATTGATTGATTATTTAAATATAATAAAGCTTCAAGTAGTTGTGTAAAAAGTAATAAACGTTCATGATCAGTTGGTTGATTTAAATGAATATATTCATTTAATGTTAAATCATATTTTCTCATAACAATAAATAATGTTTTATTTCGTCCATAACCATCAGGTGATAAACGTGTTGGAATTGCCATTGGATAATAATCATGTGCTTCATTTAATAATGGAAATGAATCAACAAAACATGAATACATACGTACAATATTTGGATGAGAAAAATATTCTCGTAACGGAATTAATTCTTTATTCATAGCTTTTTTAAGTGCTTCGGCATTCGATTGAATACCATAATTAAATAACATTTTTATTGCTAAATTAAATTCACCAGCTAAACGAAGAAAATTATTTTATAAAAACAAAAAAAACGAATACTATTTTACCAGGTAAAATATCCGAATCAATACTTGATGATTGTGTTATATCAATTGAAGCTCGATTTCGAACTAAAATTAAATAATAAAAATATTACAATAAGGCTATTTGTCTTCGATAGCTAATTTAGTGGGGGTTGCCGAATTTTAGTATCTGATGAAAATCCGGCAGTGCACTGGCGAAATTCACGCAAACCAGTATATGAAAATTGAAGCTCTTTCTTTCTTAGCCGATAAAGTTTTTAACTGAATAATAGAATTCAGATAGTTGCTTAACAAAGCAGAGTGTTTGACTTTTGATTATATCGGAATTTATAATAACTGGAAATTGAATTTTTTCTTTTCGGTTAAAATAATAATTAAATTACCTTCATCTAATGTTAGTTCATTGATTCGTTCTTCTTCATTTTCATATACATCTTCACATAATGATGATTGATGTGAAAGTATATCAATATCACTTTCACTTTCACTTGAATATCTTTCTGATGGAATAGTAAAATTACATGATGTTGTATTTGATGAGGATGAACGAAGTCGTGCTTCGTATACAGCTGCATTGCAACCGCAACCGAGTAAACGACCTAATTCATAATCATCGAGTACTGCTCGATTATGTTTTTCATTTTCATTATTAAATTGATCCATCATAGAAGTTTTTGAAAGAAGATTTCCAATTTGAGTAAGTGTTTCATCAATGCGAAAACGATCAATCGATGATTGTGGAACAAGTGAATAACCAAGTAAACCCAATGCAAAACGAGAACTACTTGGTGCTAGAGAAAAAGAAAAGAAAGAATAACATAAGATTCTAGACAAATATAATCTTTCACATAATCATCACGCAAAATAAATATTTTATATGTCTATATTAAACTAAAAGTAAAAATACTTGAGATCGTTCTTTTTTACCTCACTTTAGATTATTGTATCAAATTTTACTATATGAATATTTCTTATTAAACTTTAATAAACAACTGATTATACATAACTTAAAACGAAAGTATATGCTTACACCTGTGAAGAACGATTAAAAGAAAACGTCATATAGTATTTCGAAAGACAAAAAGTATAGGTAAAAAAGATTAACACAATAATTCATCTGCTGGAGTAAAACTTAAGACAGTTCTTTTATTCTGTTCTCTTTCAAACCATGAGAGTTAGTCGTTCAAGAAAAGAAACATTCACTAACCAGTAAAAAATAATCGTCGTTTAATTTCATTTAAAGCTATTCGAAATGGCATTAAATTCGACAGATTTTGTCCATTAGTTGGAGTTAAAAATGAACGATAAATAGATGGAAATAAATAAAATCTTAATGGATATTTTGAATAAACTTGATGTTGTTTATTTAATGCTGGTAGTTGATTATTATAAGTATTAAATATTGGTTTAAATGGACGTGAAATTAATGTTCGACTTAATCGAACAATTAATTTCGCTGCTCCTTTAAATACCATTTTTTGTTTTAAATCTACAAGAGAAATGCACATCGAGATAGTAAAAAAGAAAAAACAACTGATGATAATTAATTTTTATATTTTGTAATAAAAAAAAAGAAGAAAACAAGAATAACTATTTTGTTGTTTAATGTTTATGATGTGATCGATCTTTATCTGTTCGTCTTGATGAAAGACGATCATGAATTGTTTTATTTACAATTGTTGTATTATTATTATCTTTTGGTAAAATTTGAACAACTCGATGATTGTTGTTATTTGGAGAAGACGAAGAAGATTCATTTGTTCGACGTTTTTTTATCAATTGACGAAGATCAAATTCATCCGAATTTAATTTAACTGTTATTGAAACAGGACGTTCATCAATTGGTGGTGATTTTTTTCGTTCTTCTTTTCGTCTTTTAATATCTTTTGAAGCAGAAGAAGAAGATTTATGATATTTTCGGTCATCATGATCAGAAGTTTTTCGTAATGATGATGACGATGATGGTGGTGGTGGTATTTGTTTTTTCGTAGATTTTTCTTCATTTTGTATAAGAAGATCATCATCTTGAATAGGACAATTAACAATAAGCATATCATCATTATCATTTGGAATGTCTTGTGGAAAACGTTCATCAATATCACCAGTTGTTGGCTTTATTTTATTTTCAAAACGATAATCTTTATCATGTTTATCAATTGAATCCGAACTAATTGATGATAATGATGAAGATGATCGACTAATAGAAGAATGTGTATAACTAGATTGAGATGAATAAGATCTTGATGATGAACGAGAATTACGATGATTTGGTGAATGATCATAAGTATTCTACAGATAAAAAAAAATATGTATATCTTTTTTTTGTTGATAGATAAAACAAACTTTGCGTTTTTTAGTATTGAGCGTTTTAAGTGCAGCATTTCGTAATGCATCTAAATCATCATCGTCATCATCATCACTGTAATTTTGATTTGTTGTTTTGGTGACTTGATATGAACTATAATGAGATGTTGGAGCCATAGATTGTGTTTGTTTATTATCAAAATAATTGTCTGTTGTAATAGGATAATATGAAGATGTCTATAAAGATAAATCGAAAAATTTTTTTCTTTGAGAATATTTTATTAGCAAATTCTTACCATGATAGTTATGTAGATATTTTGTAGTTAGTTGCTACAAGATTGATTATTAACAACAGAAAAGGAAATATACTTGATTTGATATTAGTAACAACCAATCAATGAAAATTGCATCATTATTTTAGAATGTTGTATTGTCATTGAGCGACATCTATCAACTGATGAAGTGCCTTTGAAAACAGGTGATGAAAAACAAAATAGAGAGCAGTATAAAAGTTTCTCAATGACGAAAACTGATTGTTTTGTTTGTTTAGTTACGAATTAAAATGATTTTGATGTAAGCCTGTCAAGACTTTGAGCATTGTGAAAGCCCATTGAGTAAATGGTAATGAAATATCATGTTCATAAGTCAGCAGTAAAATTCTATTATCTTTAAATGCATAAAACTACTCCTTCGCATTTATTCTCTAACTCCCATTTGTCTTACCTCTGTGCTCTTTTTTCGTTTAATATTCGTAAAAGGCTATTTGATGAATGAAAAACACAACGAACTTAATGCTTCGCATAATTTTCAAGCGCAATCTTTTTAACATCTGTATGAAGATAAAGTATAATAATGATTCATATAAATTTCATAACAATTGCTTTCTTTTTCCTTTAGGATGTAACAGATGAAGTTTACTCACTAAACATATCATTTTGTACTAAAAATAGACATGAATCATATTATCTAATCTTTTAAAAACAACAAAAGTCATTGTTTTTTTTAATAGTCATATCAACTGATAATCAGAGTATTGATGAAATATCATTAGTATGGATACAAGTATTTCACTTACAGATAATTCCATAATTACAAATCATAATCAACAAAAACGACATATCATGATAAGTTATGATCGTTCATCGATAAGAACTTGTCGAAAAATCTATAATCGTCTTATAGTAAATATACGATGTATATTTCAATGAATTGTCGTACTTTGTTTTTATAGGAACGAAATTATAAAGTATGGATGGATCTTGAACATATGTTTGATGAAATATTAGTTGCTATGGCACAAGTAATCAAAAATTCTTATATTATCCTTCTTTGTATTAGTCAACAGTATTATGAAAGTGATTCTTGTCGATTAGGTAATTAGCTTTTTTAAACTCATGATAAAATGAATTATAGATAACTCATTTCTAGAAGCTGAATATGCTGTTAAAAATCGAATAAAATTTATTCCTTGTTTGATGTAAGAAAAATTTCAACCTAAAAGTTGGTTAGGCATTATCAAAGGTTCGAATGTTCACATTGATTTTTCTTCGCAAGATGATTTTGATGAATCATTTGAACAATTAATTCGTCAAATTACTTTTATTGAAAAATAATTATCTATACAACCTCGTATGTTTTATTAATTTGATTCAAATTTTATTGTAAAAAAATCTAAATAGGTTGTATCAGGTTTTTCGCATTTATAATTGTTGCAGTTACGTTGTGCTTATAAATTTAAGTCAAAAGATAAAGGTGTGAATTCCAATCGTTAAAAGGAAGATTTTGTTCGATTTACTTAGATGATAAGACTGTTCGCATCGTCTCAAAATTCATTTCAACTCAAATCATAAATCTTTAGGGTTTTTTTGATTTAAACTCTTTCAGGCATGAATTTTAATCTCTCAATTGATCGAAATCTGTTGATTAAACTGAATGTAAAATTGCCTATTTATATTTATTGTAAATAAATATAAATACTTGATTCTTGAGGAATTTGTTTATTATCAATAGACAAAGTATTTGACGATATTGTATTATCGACATTTTTTGGTACTACAGCTAAATAATAAATTGAAATAGAGAATAGATATAAGAATATATACAAACGTCGGCTAGTTTTCGCTGTAAGTTTACGAGAAGTTGCACAACCTGTTCTTGTCCTATTAAAAATACTACGAGGTTGACGATTCCGTCGAATCGGTAATAATGTAGTATTAAAACGACCATCATTAGAAAAGGTTCGTGATAGTGTTAAATTTCGTTGCATAGTATATTTTGATTTTTCTTGTGCCACTATTCGTTAAATTCAAAAGTGAAAGCAAACAATGGAAAAGAAGAAGTTATATATTATTGTTCCTGCATTGCCATGTACTCCTACGTTGTTATTTTTGTTTACAATCACAATATATATTTACTGTGCATGGAGAAACGGTTTTTTTCAACATAAACTCCAATGGGCGTCATAATGTCAACAATACTGTATTTGATCGCACGAAAGATAAGTAAAATGATTCACCCTACTTTACAGGGTAAAGTAAAGTGAAATAAAATAAAGTACGGCACTTACTCATTTTACCCTCTCCCCCGTTCAAATTTTTTAATATTGTCTTATTTATTGAATTGTTATTTTTTTTATCGCTTTATCTGATTATCATTTCTATCATGTGTATATGTCAAAATGGAACATTCACACCCTACAATAGTTTTACTCATATATCAAGCTAAACAAGGATATGTTCGAATTGTTATCTATAATAATCTATTCATAGATAAGTCAATTATATATATAGAAGCAAATCGTAGTGTAATATTAATTACTGAATCTATATTATTTTATATTACTCATTAAATTCTTAATAATTGTAAGTTAATTTTATAATTGATGTTAAATGAACATATATAAAAATATCACATATATTTATATTTATTATATGAATAATCATTAATTCTTCATAAAATTCAACGAGAAAATTTTTAAAATCTATTTTATTGAACTTTTATGAAAAATATGCAACATGAATATAATATATTACATTATAAAACTTTCAGGTCAAATTATACAAGACAAAGAAAATATTTTTTATTAAGTACTATCATCATTCTATTGTTTATTTATATTATTTTTCGAAAAAAAATGTGTTTTAAAATGAATTTTATTTATTCAAAATGTATGTTTTCAATTTAATGGAATAGATCTATTAGAATTCGTAATAACTATTTATCTTCTTTTATTTTTTTTATTCGATCACATAAATATGATAAAAAATATACTTAAATTACAATGAATGATCTTAAATTTTGAAAATTTATTTTAATTTATTTAAAAATGAGATTGAACATATGATTTACTTTATTTCTCATGCGATATTATGTATTAACATTAAAACATGTTTTCAAACACGTTACAATAGATAGTCATTCAAAATCATATAAGCGTTGATCGAAGAATTTTATAATTCATTATTCACATTTTTCTCCTAACAAACTCTAAATGTATAGAAATATTCTTTGAATCTTGTTCCCGTAACATAAATATTTGTTCCAGACGTTTTATTCAATTATAAAATTACATTTTTGTTTGCTAATTTTTCAGCTATCAATGAATCATGAAACCATCTATATAAATATGTTTATTGAAGCATTTCAAAGAGGGCGTAATGAAGTCGATGCATAAAAATCTATTTCAATTCAATTATCGTTTATATATATTTTTTAAAATTTACCTAACATAAAAGTATATTAACGTGATAGAAGAATCTTGTTTTTTCTAGTTGAATGGATGCATAAGAAAAATCTATCACTTGCTGTAGTGCTGATGTTTTTTTCCCGTGGGTTTAATGAAGAAAGCATGGTATTTAATCACCCATTACAATTCACTTTATAAGAATACGTAATGCATCGCTTAAGTGTATATTGCATTTATATTTTTGCGTTGGAAGACTAACGATACTAAAATGATATACTATTTTTCTCACATATAATTTCATAAGAATAAAAAACTCAAATAATTGATCAAATTATTAGATCGTTTAAAATGCATGCTCTTGAAATATTATGGTTTTTATGAAAAAGGTTCTTCTATTTATGATCGATATTACTGATATGAAAATAAATGAGCAGAAAAAAACTGGAAAGATTTTATATCAAGATATTTACACTCAAAAAGTTTGCTTTTTATGAAAATTTTAATGACTTATTAGGGTGTGGGTCAGGATAAAGGTACGGATGCGTCCATGAGAGCAAAGTCAACCAATTCCACACCCACCCTATCGATTAATATTCGTCATTGCTGCATTCTCATCCACGAACGTACACGTTTATTTAGATAATAATAACATAATTTATCCTCAGTTACTTGTACACGCACGTACATATAACATTAATCATAGAGAAAAAAAGAACGGGTACAAGAAGTAACTCACAATATAAACAATGTGCAGAAATATAAAAAGGTAAACATATAGAAAACAAGAATGATAGTATAGCCAATAATGTATCATTGACGGTAAAGAAAATTTTTCATTTCATTACTTTTTTCTGTCGTCAACATTTGTATCTTTCCACACACATACCATTTTTGTTGTCGATGATTATGTTTTTGAGTAAATTAGGAGAAATCATTTAAACTAATATTTATCTGATTTTTATTTTTAGTATTTTAATCTAAGAACTCAATGATAAAACATTGAAGTAATATTAAAATATGTTTCAATTCACGACGACGGAGAAACAAGTTTCATTGGATTTTTTTGAATCGATCTTTTTAGTATGTTTAATGATAGCATTGTTACCGCAAGCTCTTCTAAATTATCGTTTGCAAAATACAAATAATTTATCAACAACAACAATTATATTATGGACTATAGGATCTGAAATAACATTAGTCTATTTAGTTTGGACTGATGAAATATTAATTATAGCTGCTGCTTATGCAGTATTTATTGCCGTTGCATTATTTATAGGTTGTCAAATCAAATATTATGATCAAGAGGAACAATCTATAAATTCATCAGTTTCAAAAAAATCAAAATATTTTCAGTTTCTAATAAATTATATGTTATTATTATTTTTATGTTTTATTTTTGGCATTCTTTTATATTATATACTTCAATTAACAAAATCACATCTTTACATGTCAGTATTGATTGGAGGAATTATTCCAACAATTATTGATTCAATTGGATATTTTCCTCAAATTATACTAATTATTCAAATGAG